TGCAAAAGAAGTGCAAAATCTACAAATTCCCCATTTGTCCCGAAGGTGTTGAGAAAACCCAGACCCAAGATCATTGCAAACACTTGTTAGGGGCGTGACATCGCCACCCTTATGTCCGACAAAGTGGTAACAGATATAACCAAATGAACAATCGGGGGAGACGCAACCAAAATGGCGGGGCCATCAGGGGTAGATGCGATAGAAACTACTGGTCTAGGCGTTAGCTCTGAGGGGATAGAAAAAGACTCACCCGATGAAACAGCAGTCGTCTGTGCGACGGGCGCTGAGGAATCACTCAGAACATCAGGCGGCGCGATGCGGTCCAAACGAGGCCTCCCCCTTGGTCTCGACCCCTCAGCGCCGGCAGTGCGCCGCTTTGTTCTTGCTGCCCGTGGCATCTTTTCCCAATAACTGGAAGGGGCTGGACTAAACGTGATATCCTTTCCCAAAGCTGCAAATAAATTGCAGAATGTAGAAGACAACTAACCTACGAAGGATACTTTGCAAATTTACAACAACACTGATTATTTATCCCATAATAAACCGAACGAACCGACCTGGCAAACTGCTCAGACAAAAGTGACCAGCACACACATTGGTTCTGCCTATGAATCTGTAACCAAACAGCTGGGTCGTAAATCCAGCGCCTGAGTGGTCAACCGGGGAATTTACTCCAGCAACCCAGCCTCGCGGCAATAAACTATTTGAAGCCCCAATGGGCCTAAAATGAATTAAGCCAATGAAATTGCACCTTTGTGTTTCAATAAACCAGATTCTAAATTATTGCTTTGCTATTGGAACCCATTTTTTTTAGGGTTATTTATTTTTCATGTGAATGAACATTGCATAAGCATAAGCCAAAATTTGAAGTCGGGCAAAGCACCGAACCTCAATATTGCACTGATATGTGCACCAAGAATTTCTAGATTTGTTTTGCACACTGCTATCGCACACTTCATTTCCTCTTTCTTACGCAATGTATTGTGTAAGTATGTGACAATATGCCAATGAGCAACCTTTTCCCATAAGTGTTATCCAACACTTACGAGAAAACTTGAAGCATTCAAATTCAGCAGTATCTTCCTAAATTTACACCAAGGCAAATGTGTCCTGACTTGTCCTGAAACGAATGTTCAATTTTGACATATTCAAAATTAAGAAATTCATTGCATGGATCCTTTAAGCTTTAAAAATACACAATGCAGCCCAAAACATCAGTTACCAATTACACCCCTTAACCCCCCCCCCGGAAATTTAATCCTTCTGACCTGTACTTACCTCCTTTCTCAGAACTCTCATCAGTGCTTCATAACCACCTACTCCTTTGGGGGAGGAGTTGAGTTCTTGAAGTAGGTGGTTATGAAGCACGGATGAGAGTTTTGAGAAAGGTATGTACATTTATAGCAAGTGCCTCACTCGATCAGGAAATGTTAGGTGTCATGATTGGTCCTGAGGGTGATGCAGGTGGTACAATTGTACATAAACACTGTAAGTATTATCTAAAATCTCCCCTGGAAAATCAGAAATCAGAACCTTTCCCCCCAACAAAGCCATGTTAAAACGCTGGATGAAAAGAAGTAACTAATTATAAAGTAGCACAGCAGCTTTCAATAAACACACTGGTTTTTGCAATGCACCTAATCTTGAAAAGCTCCATGCCTTTACATGTGCAGTTGTGCACACCAACCACTGTTAGCAACTGAAAAGCAATACTTACATTAAAAAAAGCTTCAAAGTTGAGAACAAGAAATACACCACAGTTGTGCATGTTGTCTTGCTGCTGCACCTGCAGAAGTTTGTGAGGAAAAATTTGTAACTTACTAATTAATACCATAAAGTTCCACATGGTGAGAGCTATGAAAAGTAACAAATACTGTGAGTTGATTTAAGTCAAGCCATATCTCATTTTAAAACTAAATCTTACTTCAGTCCACTTCATTCGCGTCCATCACATTTAAATTTTGAGATAAGAAAAGGGGTGCCAGCTGATCACAAGTCAGGAGTTAATTTCAGTCGTATGTAATAACTATTCCTTCAATAAATCAGTGCATTGTTATCGCAACAACTGTACTAGTAGTATTTAGTCTTTTATTTTGACTTTTGCTAATTGGTTAATGAAATCAGGGGGAAACCAGTGTTCCACCAAGAATAAACCACCAAATGATGAAACCCTTCAAGCTAGTCTCTAGGTTAGCAATGGATACTGCAGAAGCTCAAAGGTGAATGTATACTGCACGTTGGAAGTGCCCAAGCAATTATCAGCACATGAAATCAGTGCAAGTTAGGTTTTATTTTGGGGAATCAAGCAGTTCTTTCTAAAGTCCAGTGTCCTGAATTTGATGAGAGGGACTTGTCAAGCTGAGTTATTGCAGTGCTCAAAGTGGAGACCAGACCTCTACCAGTAAAGACTAATGTTAGATTGTCCATAAACTGAGATTGACCCACTGAGCAGAATCAAAATCATGAAATCTATACCATACCTGCAAACAAATCTGTGCAAATTGTGATATGTATCATAGCTGAGAAAACCTGGTAGAGAATCCAGAATCAGCAACCTTTAAAAACAAGTTGAAAAAATATTGATTTATTAGAATTACATGTTGCTATTTCTATTCATTTTTAAAGGAAATTGATTTTGCTCCAAGTTTTATTATGGAATATGAAGGTAAGCCAGAATGTGCCTTCAATGAAATTTTTGGATAGCCAAAAAAGTAAAACAAAATACGGGAAAACTCACGTCTTGGCTTTCTTCTCAACTACCAGACCGATCCAATGATTTCTTGGGCAAAAACAAAATAAAAATGTAATGTTCAATACCCGGAAAGAAGACAACTCAGTGCAACAAGAGACATGAAGTTATTTAAGGATAGTTTAAAATTTTCTGAACATAAATAAATGAGGTATTCGTAAATGAAAGATTTATCCGTCAAATAGCATGTAACAAATTACAAGCAGAAGGCCATNAGTATAGTAAGTGCCTCACTTGATCAGAAAATGTTAGGTGTCATGATTGGTCCTGAGGGTGATGCAGGTGGTACAGTTGTACATAAACACTGTAAGTATTATCTAAAATTTCCTCTGAAAAATCAGAAATAAAGATACACCACCTTTCCCCCCCCCAACAAATTCATGTTAAAACGCTGGCTGAAAAGTAACTAATTACAAAGTAGGACAGCAGCTTTCAATAAATATGCAGATTTTTGCAATGCACCTAATCTTGAAAAGCTTCATGCATTTACATGTGCAGTTGTGCACACCAACCACTGTTAGCAACTGAAAAACAATGCTTGCATTCAAAAAAGCTTCAAAGTTGAGGACAAGAAATACACCACAGTTGTGCATGTTGTCTTGCTGCTGCACCTGCAGAAGTTTGCGAGGAAAAAATTTGTAACTTACTAATTAATACCATAAAGTTCCACATGGTCAGAGCTATGAAAAGTTACAAATACTGTTACTTGATTTATTAAAGTCAAGCCTTATCTTATTTTAATACTAAATCTTCAGTCCACTTCTTGGGATCCATCGCATTTAAATTTTGAGGTAAGAAAAAGGGGTGCCAGCTGATCACAAGTCAGGAGTTAATTTCAGTCGTATGTAATAACTATTCCTTCAATAAATCAGATGCGTTGTTATTGCAACAACTGTTTAAGTAGTATTTATTCTTTTATTTTGACTTTTGCTTATTGGTTAATGAAATCAGGGGGAAACCAGTGTTCCACCAAGAATAAACCCCCAAATGATGAAACCCTTCAAGCTAGGCTCTAGGTTAGCAATGGATACTGCAGAAGCTCAAAGGTGAATGTATACTGCACCTTTGAAGTGCCCAAGCAATTATCGGCACATGAAATCAGTGCAAGTTAGGTTTTATTTTGGGGAATCAAGCACTTCTTTCTAAAGTCCAGTGTCCTGAATCTGATGAGAAAGACTAGTCAAGTTGAGTTATTGCAGTGCTCAAAGTGGAGACTAGACCTCTACCAGTAAAGACTAATGTTAGATTGCCCATAAACTGAGACTGACCCACTGACCAAAATCATTGAAAAGGATGTTTTCGCTTTGAAAATGCAGGCCCCAGTAATCATCTGAATTGTTGGAAGAGGGGAAACAGTTGCCTCCAACAGAACCCTTGACACAACCTCTGAAAAGTGACTAACTTCACAACTTACATGTACTAAAGCATGTGACTAATTAATTCACTATGTTGCTGTAAATAAAAAATCGGGAAAAATTACAACCCCCATCTCTTTTACCTGATAAATGAAGAATAGGAAATCATCATACCTTAGGGACATGCAAGCTTGGTAGTGACTCCTCCAACATCAGGGAGTTATTAGAAGCAGAACAAGCTACCAACTGGAGATATCTGTTTGGGCGTAAATATTAATTTAAATTAACATCATATTTGTATAATCACACTAGCATATATATCGATAGAGATATTGACAAATTGTGAGGTGTATGTCACAGAAACAAAATTACATGTATATTGCAAAGTGCCTTTTTCAGTTGTGTGAGTGGCCAGTTGAAATTAAAGCTGAATACAGCTAGCCGAAAGCTGAAAGTAAGAAATCCCCATACATTTGTCTGCAGCCGGTGTACAAACAAGCTGAAATTTGCGGTCAACATCTAAACAAACAAATGAAATCAGCGAAACAGCTGAATTTTCACACTTCTGATATCAATTAAAATAACAAACATTTCAATTTCACAGATTTACACCATGACCACAACACACAGCAAAAAGAATTTCCTGGCAATAAAAACCAGACATATCAATCTATGGACAGAATGGAATTATGATGTTTTAAGTTATAAACAATTTGCAGTTGGGCATTTGGGCCAGTGTAATCAAAGAAAGTGTAATTATGGTCCATTTCTGGAAATAAATCAGCAAAATGAAATCTATACCATACCTGCAAACAAATCTGTGCAGAGTGTGATATGTATCATAGCTGAGAAAACCCGGTAGAGAATCCAGAATCAGCAACCTTTAAAAACAAGTTGAAAAAAATATTGATTTATTAAAATTACATGTTGTTACTTTTACCTATCTATTCATTTTTAAAGGAAATTGATTTTGCACTAAGTTTTATTGTGGAATATGAAAGTAAGCCAGAATGTGCTTCAATGAAATTTTTGGATAGCCAAAAAGTAAAACAAAACACGCGAAAACTCACATCTTGGCTTTCTCCTCAACTACCAGACTAATCCAATGATTTCTTGGACAAAAACAAAATTAAAAAACTAAAAATGTAATGTTCAATACGCAGAAAGAAGACAACTCAGTGCAACAAGAGACATGAAGTTATTCAAGGATAGTTTCTGAACATAAATAAATAAGGTACATGTATTCGTAAATAAAAGATTTATCCGTCAAATAGCATTAACAAATTACAAGCAGAAGGCCAGATTGAACAGGAGCAAGGTATGACAAGAGTTACTGGATAAGCAGACTACTACAGAACAAACTAATGTTGGCTGAAACAGAAACACTGGAATTTTAAAATGCACACATATTCCAAGTACAGAGGGTAGTTTGAGCATATAATACTTACAATGTACAAACAGGAGTTAATATAAGGGCAACATGTTGTAGGTTGACTGGGGAAATCCCAATGGCATGTAGATGTTTTCCTATCCAAGGAATTGCTTCCTCATCTTGGAGAATATGGAGCCAGCTGTTTGCCTGGAAGAGTTGGCCTACAAAATATGGACAGATGAAGGCATTTGGGTGTTTGTCATTGCTCATCAAGTGTCTGCATGAGGAATGTTTTAAATAGAAAAAATCATACAAATTTCCGGTAGTTTTGAAAAAAGCATGTGAATGATTAATAAGAAAATACCAAATACGGTCATACAGTCTGAAAAGTATCTCAAGAGAAGACAAGCCAAAATAAACTAGGGAGTGAAAAAAATAAACTGGTCTTTGTTGAAGAACAAAGTGAGTAAAGATTTAAATGGTTGAGTACTGGGAACTAACAAAAGGATGCACAGAAAGAACAAAAAATGGAACATGGTTTTGATTACCTCATGAAGAAGTCAATGGCATCACCAGAACGGTCTTCCCCGTTCCTTACTCTATTGATGTCTCCAACAGATATTGTACACCCCTCAAGCTTGGCAATACTGTCAAAATAGTAATTTAAAAAAATTTAATATCTCCCCTATTTATATTCACTCAAACAGACATATAGGCCACAATAGAATTACATAGACTTTTTTCTATTATAGTTATACTTGTCAACAAATAACATAAATTATGCATGCAATCATTCAATCCTGTAGATTTGCACCAAAATTCCATTCCTAACATAACTTGATTGACAATGGTCCTTAACTTGGCATACTTCTGAATTTCCATTGTTTAATGGAAATTTCCACTGTTTAAGTAGAATTTCTAAATAGTGGTTACATTATTCATACACTAATGCAGAATGTTATTCACAACTCAATGGGAAGATTCAAAATGGGCACAAACAAAGAGTATATGATTACTGCTCAATCACATCGAGAGGTACAATATTGATACCTGGTAGAGCAATTCAAGGAACAGCACTGATATTTCATCTTTTCTGCTGCTGCATGGGATAGGCCTGTGCATAGGCAGTGATACCACCCATGACACACATCCCATTCAACCCAAGTGTCTAGGTGGAACACATCTGCTTGACACATATTTAAGGGCCCTAAGCATGCAGAACAGAAGTTCTCCACAACACCTTCAAGATTGAACCTCTTGCCCTTATGTGCCTTGTGTCTTGACCGAGCACCTTTAAATTGTTAGGGTAGAGAAGAACATTGAAAGAAATAGTCCGGAATTACTACAATGTTTCTTAACCATTAGTGAAGGCATAAGTGGTTTTTAGTTCTCCTGGTACGGACAAACGTTTAAGACTGGTTAAGTGCAATGTTATTCCCTTCTAAATGCCTCCTGTATCATAACAAACAGGGTTCTTATTCTAAATAGTTAATCCCATTCCTGAAAATATTCTTAGTATGAGATAAAAAATATTCATTGTTACATAACCTTCATTTCCATTGTGTGAACACTCCTCTCCATTTAAGGGAACCTATGCATTCCTCACTCTGCAAATAATCCCTTTTCAGCATGCGCGTTGCATGCTGCATGTCATAGCATACAAAAAATCTCAAACAATAAGTCGGTGCTGCAATTCAAATAAAACAATTCTGGTGCCTAAGAGTTTTTAAATATTTTGAAGAAGGCCTGGCACAGATTACCGAAATAGTTTAGAAAGAGCATGACATGCATGGACATGTACAAAGGTCATCAGAACTGAACTGAAGAAAATGTGTCTTGCTCTACATATACATGATTTAGCAAACGTGGTGATAAGTTGGGCATACAAAGTGCCCTTAAACATTTTGCTTACATTTTACAATTTTGGGACATTTTGAAAATGGCAATTTTTCAACATTCCAATTTCCTGTATTCTAATTTTAAATTCAGAAGAAAAGAAAGAAAATAACAGTGACACCAAGAGCATTTCTCATAAAATTTACAAGAGTAAAACCTTTATGAACGTGTAATGATTGAATTGTTTCCAAAGTTATCATGTAGTGAAATTAAAACCTGGCAGTATTATATTCCAAACAATGAAAGGAAGACAAAAAGTACTAAAACATGAATTATTGGCAACAATAGTGTCTTAATATGCTCTACTTAAAGTATATAGTACTTGTAAATAGCAAATGACAGAATGCTACAGGGAAGAGCTTAAAAAGCAATTTTAAGACAGAAAAAAAACACGTAGGAAGAAAAGAAGGAAAATCTGGATCCATAGTTAGTACTTACGACGTGGTACAAGAGGAATGAAGTGGTTCATGGCCCCAGTGGATCCTACTTTAACCCACATGACATGTAAGACTGGCAGGTCATCCTGCTCTTCACATCCACATGGGTTTAGAAGGGTATCATACCCTGGGGCATAGTCCTCTGAATGCTGCTGAATAAACACTCCTAGATACCCAGCAGCAAACAATACCTGCAGAATACCTGGAACAGTCAAAATATGACATTAAGCACGGGAATTTACAAACACACAGGGTTTAAATGCCACAGGTGTGGCAAAAGAATTGAAAAACTCTACAAACACAGTACAGCCCATACATTATTAATGTGCAAATGGCACACAAAAGATGTTTAAAACAAGTCCAGTAAATCTTGAAAATCTATGAAACATTTTATGAACATTGTTGACAGACAAACAAATTGAAGACAGATGGGTGAAAGTTAACAAATGACACAGTTCTTGGGACTACACGTACATGCACAAGATAATATTGTACATTTCTCCATACATCTTCAGTGGTTTTCAAGCTTAATACTTGATGTAAACATTGATAAAGAGGTGTCCAATGACATCAAAAATAACTACGTGTACCGGTAGGTACTGGTAACTTCTAATCGTGACACATGAAATTGAATTTCTCTGTACATGTATTCTTATTTTTAATCATGCTTAATGTTGAAGCTCAAATTAATTACATGTAGGTAGCTAGGCATTCAATTTAGCTTGTCATACATCTCGCTTGAACATGTTGAATACTACTCACCTATTAGACAAGACCTTCACGTGATTGAATGATTTAAATTTAGGAATCCATACATTTCAGACATCAGCTGATGCTGACAGGCTGTATGATATCATCACAGGCAAAAGTTCAGCAAGTAAAAGTTAATTAACTGACTATTTCTGAAGATTTGTCAAGTTCTGATAATATCTGATGTGCATTAACAGGAAAATAGACCAGTTGTAGTTGTGTACGTATGATAGACTCATTTCCATCTTTGGACGTGTATTGTTTTATAGGTGACTGCTAAAAGTAGATAACTGTTCACCACACTTTCTCCTACACAAGTACACGCAGTATATTCCTATGGTCCTGCATTATGCCTGAAAATTAACTTTCATAAACTTCCCTTTAATTGATAATGCATTCCTTTAAAACAATGCATACAAGCCAAATGAAAGACACTTCAGAGTACATTCTGAAACCAACCAAGTTTTCTAATGTACATGTAGGCCCCTACCTACAGCTTGAAAACATTAGTAATACCACAACCTACCAGAATAGGATTTCACTTGTGCTGTGGAGGCAGCTTGGTCCTGAATTGTATGTGCAATGATATCTTCCAGTTTGTCACAGCTGTGGGTGCAGGGTGAGGTCACATCATGTGCATAAACCACAGGCATCATGCACACTGGTGCACTCTTGCAGGTACTGCATAACACAATGGATATTTACTTTTGTTCATTTCCAAAAAATCAAGAAGCACATATATTCCTTAAAAGTGATCATGCTAATCTTTTTCCCCGAATGATCATTACAGAGACAAANAGCCCATACATTATTAATGTGCAAATGGCACACAAAAGATGTTTGAAACAAGTCCAGTAAATCTTGAAAATCTATGAAACATTTTATGAACATTGTTTACAAACAAATTGAAGACGGATGTGTGAAAGTTAACAAATGACACAGTTGTTGGAACCACACGTACATGCACAAGATTATATTCTACATTTCTCCATACATCTTCAGTGGTTTTCAAGATTAATACCTGATGTAAACATTGACAAAGAGGTGTCCAATGACATCAAAAATAACTACGTGTAGGTACTGGTAAGTTCTAATCGTGACACAAGAAATTGAATTTCTGTGTACATGTATTCTTATTTTTAACGCTTAAGGTTGAAGCTCAAATTAATTAGGTAGCTCGGCATTCAATTTAGCTTGTCGTACATCTCGCTTGAACATGTTGAATACTACTCACCTATTAGATAAGACCTTCACGTGATGGAATGATTTAAATTTAGGAACCCATACTTTTCGGACATCAGCTGATGCTGACAGGCTGCATGACATCATTTCAGGCAAAAGTTCAGCAAGCAGAAGTTAACAAAAGTTCAGCAAGTAGAAGTTAATTAACAGACTATTTCTGAAGATTTGTCAAGTTCTGACAATATCTTATGTGCATTACCAGGAAAATAGACCAGTTGTAGTTGTGTATGTATGATAGACTCATTTCCATCTTAGGACATGTATTGTTTTATTGGTGACTGCTAAGAGTAGATAATTGTTCACCACACTTTCTCCTACACAAGTACACGCAGTATACTCCTATGGTCCTGCATTATGCCTGAAAATTAACTTTCATAAACTTCCCTTTAATTGATAACGTATTCCTTTAAAACAATTTTATACAAGCCAAATGAAAGACACTTCAGAGTACATTCTGAAACCAACCAAGTTTTCTTATGTACATGTAGGCCCCTACCTAGAGCTTGAAAACATTAATAATACCACAACCTACCAGAATAGGATTTCACTTTTGCTGTGGAGGCAGCTTGGTCCTGAATTGTATGTGCAATGATATCTGCCTGCGTCCAGTTTGTCACAGCTGTGAGCGCAGGATGAGGTCACATCATGTGCATAAAAGCACAGGCATCATGCACACTGGTGCACTCTTTGAGGTACTGCATAACACAATGGATAGTTACTTTTGTTCATTTCCAAAAAATCAAGAAGCACATATATTCCTTAAAAGTGATTGTGCTAATCTATATCCCCAAATGATCGTTACAGAGACAAATTACTTTTCGTTGGGGTGCCAGTTAGTGTTCCAACGCAAAACACAAAAAAGAACACAGTCCATGCCATTGATACAGTTATTTCACAGTTTTCATGTGTTATTGTACAAGGTTTAAGTGGACAATACTTTTGATTAATGCCACTGAATACTGCCAACATAACAAAAATTAAAACCAGGAAAAAACTCATAGTGGACAAATAGTGACCTGCG